ACTTTGTCCTTTCCATGGAAAGTTTTTATCTGCGGTCAGGTGTCGGCTGACTGTCCTGTAAAAACGTTGGCAGTGAAAGCTGCGGGCGGGACAGGTCAGTGTCCCGGAGCATTACAGGTCCAAAGAAAGCCTTACATGCCTCACTGGAAAGAGGGAGAGGGGGACAGTTGCTCTTTGGAACTTTATGTGCCTCCCCTCCCCCCCATCTCCCCTCCACAAAAGGGACCTTACCCCTCCGTCCCCACCCACAAGGAATTTCTCAGGCATTGCTAGGTTCACCATGACAACTGGGTGCTTAACAAAGCATTTCTCTTAGGCATTCTTCCTTTCACAGTCAAAGGAGGGAGAGACAGAGAGAGAGAGAGAGAGAGGGGGGAGAAGAGGGAGGGTGGAGGAGCTTGAAATGATGGGAGGGAACAGTGGAGGTTGCAGGGGTGAGAGCTATAGACCCGCGTAGATAGGAGAAAAATGGGGAATGGTGACAGGCAAACAAAAAGGGGGAAAGAGAAACAGGATCAAGGTGATAGGTGATGTTAGATGGAGGAAAGAGAAGAGAAACACGTTCGCTACAAAAATTCCAAGCAAGCCTCGAGTGTGACTAACGCCATCCGGGGAGAATGAAAAGAGCGAATTACAGATGACTCCAGCACCAAACACAGCCGAGCATTCGCAAGCTGTGACTTTGAATCCTATGAATCAACCATAGGGCTTACAGAAATTCATCAACGCAGAAACCTAGGCGTGCTCTGTTTGAGTGAAATAATTATATGACGGCGAGGAAGAAATGCAATCAGAGAGGTCCAGCTGTTTGAGGCCTCTAACATATATAAAAGATGTGTGCAGCCTAGTGTTACAGAACACAAACCCCTGAGAAAGTTCCTCCACAGACAGCTTAAAGGTTTAATAGATTATAATGAAATTACGCTGGCTTAGAATGTCTTGGCTCTTACTTTTACGATATGTGATGAAGAAGAGAGTCTCCTCTATTAAAATTCCAGTCTTGTAGCATAATCGTATGCAAGGCTGGCAAAGGGCAGGGGGCAAAGGTCTAAGAAATTCAACTACATACATTGCTATTATCTATGTTATCTAATTAAAGGAAAAACACTGAGCATCCACATATTTTAAAGAAGTTATTCAAGCACTAAATACCCTTTGAAAACCAAACACCTGATACATATAATCGTATGTATGTTTGTTCCAGTTGGTTTGGCTGAATGCCAACAGGTTTGGCTCAGACAAGTTTGACAACAAAGTTGTTTAACCTTGGAGCATCAACAACCACTTTAGACGCTTGAAACTTAAAAATCTCTCCCTCCACACTGACCAGAGCCAGAGAATATCTGCTGTCCACCATGTAATTTGAGCGTCTGTACAACCTGCAGTGTGATGTGAGCTGAATCTAACTGCCATCATTAGTTGCGGAGGCGTGTTTGTCTGTTAAATCTCGGCATTGGCGCTTGCAAAGTAAGCATGCAGGCTATGGTACAGGCTTGGATTCAGAATGTGATTACACAAGGACAACGTGTCCTCGTAGTTGGAATAATGTATACATTGTATTTTTGCCACCCAGGAGGTTAACATGTAAGTGTGTCAATCCTACAGTCACTGTATATTGCAAGAGACGTGCAGGAATTAATGTTCAACATAATGTTGACAACACTACAGAAGACACAACAAATTAACTTCATATTTAAACTAAAAAGGATAATAACATGTTCAAAAATAGGGGATGATGTAGGATTAGCTATAGCTTCGATACGGAAATTAACAGGGCTTCAAAGATGACAGAAGCAGGGGGGGAAATCTCACCCTTCAAATGCAAACACCTATTTATGCAGGCTCACGCTTGCCTGGGAACAGTAGATCAGCCCCTGAGTATGTCAACACTGGTCTGGCACATCCCAGGATACAGATGCAGCATATCTAATCCCTCAGACGACAACCAGCCTCTCAATTCTGCAGTGTGACCGCATTTCTCTTCATAATACAGAAGTGGCACATTTGTTAGTTCCGTTCTCAACATGTCAAAAATAGGAGCTACAACTGAACAGATCACTCAAACCAGTTTTGGTACAGAAAAAACAAGTTAAATAGTACCCTAATATGAGTTTATTGTTCTCCTCATATTTAGTAAGGAGGCAGGCCCAATGCTAGCACACTACTGCTGTCAATCTGACTCCTTTACATCTTTAAATGGTTATGATAAACAATTGTAAGCAAGTGCATACAACATCTGTTTGCCATTGCAGTGACAAATAAATCTAGATGCAAGTGAACCAAACAAATAATTTAGTCAATGTTACTTATACTATGACACTTAAATCAGTACATTTGCTCCTCAGGTAGTTTGGTGCTGAGCCACTATATTTATGGTGCATTTGAAGTGAGTTGATGATTGCTGAAAAGGCTAAAGAGGTGGCTCTTGTTTCCTGTAAATCGACTCATGGAGAAATTAGCATACGGTACAAAAGTTACACTCGACAGAGAATTATAAAGGAAAAGATAACATTGAGACATGATATTAAATAGAAAACACACATTATCTCTAAGCGAAACTTGCCGATTAGACACTGATATCCCTAAGAGTCTGTCAATACTCTGATATTCTTTCCAAGAGATTTAATATAGAATAACATTTGTTATTGACACCCAGGTTATTAAAATGTCTGGGGGTCACTGTAATAACAGTATCAAGCATATGTCATACTTTATGTTGTATTGAAGATATTAATATGACATGATATGGTTTTCATTATCTGAAAATTAATTACTGTAGAACGAGCAGTTGGGGCAGTGCAATGGATTATTTTCCTAAATTAAGAAGATAATCATAATCTGTGGATTATTTAAAAGGTGGTACTAAAGCTCCTGAATGGGAAATCCTAAAAACTTGAGCAAAGTGCAGCTACATTTGAAACGTTGCATCCATTTCAGAGTGAGGAGCTGTGCTCAAAAATGATGTTAATCACAGTCCAACAGCATACAAAAGAGCCCATCAAAAATCGTCCATCATAAGGGGCCTCTTAAACGGCAGCACGAAGAGAAAGATAATGGGAAGACTTGGGAGGTCCCTGGAGGGAGAAGCCTTTCAAAATTGGGGTCAGCGGCATCTATTGGATGAGCTCATCTTCCTACCCCACCTCCTCCTCCTCCTGTTGCCCGTCTAAGGGCTTTCCTGCTCTCTTACAGTACGACTGTATTTTTCCAACATGTTGCCAGTTTACACCACCACAACTTAACCCTCCACCCCTTCCCCCCATGTCCTCCTGCCTCCCTCCGTCTCCTTCTGTCTCCGGCAGGGGTGCTGACACATAAACCCCAGCAGGTGCGGGACGCGCTGGGCAGACACAGCCTCTAATTGGTCCGTGGTGGAGTCACAGCTGTTGCCCTCAACCACAGCCTGGTATGAGCTCGAGCGCCTGCCTCTCAATCGACAGCTCACTATTGTTCTCAAGAGAGGCAGAGCTCGGCTCCTATCCATTCTAACAACTAGCCACTTAAAAAAAACCAGTATCTGCTCTGAACTGCCAACTCATCAACAATCACTTCACTGTCTCACTCAGTCAAATCAATGAATTCCTGAATTTCCTTACAGCCCTAATCCTCACTGTTCTTGTTAAGTATCTGATTTCCTTTTTAAACCAATCTCCTAATGTTCTCTGGCTCTCTCAGTTTCCGTCTCTCAGGTTGTGCCAAGGTCAAAGAGGAGTGAGATTTACAGCAGATCACACTGCGTCAAATAAGCTCCAACAGAGGGTAACAACAACACGCCCCCCACTCTCTGTGGGTCCAATTCAAGTTCAGTCACATTTGTGGAGCAAATAAAACTCTCTAATTTGTGCAGGCATGCAAGATTAAAAAGGTGCAGAAAAGGCAGGCCGTTTCTGACATGCAGGTTAGGAGAGACAACAGCAGCAGTGAGCATGAACAGACAAAAAGTGCCAGGCTTGTTTGAATGACCTATAACCTTCTCTTGCCTGAAGTAAAAGTGTTAAAGAGTGGAACAAACAAGGCTTTACATCCCAACCAACAGTTTTTCTCTCTTAATTAACCATCAAACCGGCTTAAACACTCTGAAAGCTGAAAGCTATTCAATTCCAGCCCATTGGTTCAACTACAGAGAGAAAAAAAACAAGCCAGTCAAACAATTCAACACTTAAATAACATCACTGCTTAATTCTGACTCTACACAAGCTCTAGAAAGAAACCACAATTGAATTATGTCTTTCATAGTATGTGGGAGGGGGGGTATGATGGACAATCATGGGGCATGATCAGTGTGGCCACTGGAGTGTGGATCCCACAGGACACAGACCTGCTCAGGCAAACAGCTATTTAAATCTCCTCAATAGACGGAGCGAAATCAGGCTTCTCATAAGGGGTTGCCAAATGACAGAAGGCACCTCCTACATTACCCAAATAATTTAAATAACAGACTTAACATGCTTAAATACATCTTTGGGAACAGGTGCCATGTGTGATTATTTGAAAGGGGGAAGAAGTGGAGTGGCTCAAAAATAAGAGCTGCAAAGAACGATGTTATTGAACGATTATGAACAAATTATTCTCTGATTGCAGCTTCTTAAATGCGAATGATTTCAGGTGTCTTGACTCCTGGATGACAGTAAAGTGGATGTCTTTGAGTTGTGGTCTAAACAAGGAACACTGAAAGACATTTTTCATAATTGTTTCTTAAAATGTAAGAGCAAGCAAGCAACCAATGTATTACTTACTTACTTTTACTATTTCAAATATCTTACAGTGAAAATGAATCCTCCTCCATGAATATTTCTATTATAGAGAAATCACTCTGCAACACTGAAGCCAGAGGAGACATACTTAAGCCATCATCACTTCCATTATCTTGTGAGGTGAAGCGAAGAGAAAATGTAAATGAAGAGACAGGACGTGTTAATGGAAATAGAGTAGGAAAACAACTTCTCCCCCTCACTGCACTGAGAGGAGTCTGAAACACATAAAGTTATAAACAGTCTCACCTGACACTGAGATCCTCATGGAGGCCTCCAGGGGCCGGTTGTTATCCAGAGCCGGGCTCAGCTGGATCTCCCCCGTGCTTTGGTTCAGGAGGACTAGGTTCAGCTCGTTGCCCACCTCGAAGCTGTAGTGAAGCTGATCCGAGATGTCGGGGTCGAACGCTGGGATGCGCCCGATCACTCCAGTGGGGAAGCTGTTGGATTTGTCTGTCACGTAGTTGTTGAAGATGATCTGGAAGTTTTTGAGCACAGGCAGGTTGTCATTCTTGTCGACCAGTTTGATGTGGACTGTGGCGCGGCTGACCAGAGGAGCCGAGGTGGCCTGGACCACAATCACATACTCAGACTTTGTCTCATAGTCCAGGTCTATCAGTGCTGTCAGCTCTCCGGAGAAGATGTCGAGCTGGAACACCTCGGGGATGTTTCCCTCCACTATCTGGTACATAATCTGTGCATTGCTGCCTTCATCTGGATCTGTGGCTAACACATGTGCAAAAACAACACCTATGGGGCTGTTCTCCTCCACCATGATGTCAAACTCATCTTTCTCAAACACAGGAGGGTTGTCATTCACATCTAGGATTGTAACGTGGACATTTACTGGTGTTTTCAGAGCAGGAACGCCTTTATCTACAGCAAACGCCTGCAGGCTGTATACAGGCACATTTTCTCTGTCCAACCTACGCAGTGTTCGAATAATACCAGAGGTGGACTCAATTATGAAATCTCCATCACCATCCTCCCCCCCTTGGAAGGTGTAGAAGACACGACCGTTGAGCCCAGAGTCTCTATCAGTGGCAGAAACCTGGACCACGCTGGTGAACACCGGCACGTCCTCCATGACGGAGCCTGTGTAGTGATCTCTGAGGAAGCGGGGGGAGTTATCGTTGACATCATTCACCAGTATCTCCAGGTAGGTGGTGTCAGACTTCTGGGGGATGCCATTATCCCGAGCAGTAATGGCCAGCGTGTAAGACACTTGGTCTTCGTAGTCCAGCTCCATCTGTGTGGTGACAGCTCCTGTGTCGGTGTCGATGTCAAATTGAGGGATGCTGTCTTCCATAAAGTAGGTGATGCGGGCGTTTTCACCTGTATCTTCATCTGTGGCACTTATCACGACAACAGTGGTGCTGACAGGCTTGTCCTCGTTGATGTTGACGGTGTAGTGTGAGCTCTGGAACACAGGCCGGTGTGTGTTGGCGTCAGTGACATTGACAAACACTTTAGTGGTGTCAAGAAGTGTACCATCACTTGCAGTGACGGTGAGGACGTACTGGCGTTCTAGTTTGTAGTCTAAAGGCAGCGCCAGAGTAATGAGTCCCCCTCCGCTCTGACTCGTGATGGAGAATCTGTTGCGGGTGTTACCGCTGGATATCTGGTAGGTCACCACACTGTTGATGTCCTGGTCCACAGCCGACACCGTCACCACGCTGGTTCCCACGGATGCATCCTCGTTCAGTCGCATGTAATACGCCTTCTGAGTGAACTCTGGGTTGTTGTCGTTGACGTCGAGAATAGTCATGCTGATGCTGGCTGAGGAGGACATGACAGGGTAGCCGTGATCTCGGGCCTCCACTCCAAAGTTGAAAAAATCTACACTCTCTCTGTCCAGCTCAGCAGCCACTATAATCCACCCTGTGCTGTTGTTGATGCTGAAGGGGAAGTTTGGCGTGGTGTCAGTGAGGAGATACTCCAGCTTAGAGTTGTCTCCAGAGTCTGCATCCACGGCTTGGATGTGGATGATGGAGTAACCCAGCGGCACGTTCTCCAGCACGGTGGCCTGGAATGGGGTGCTGACAAAAATGGGGGCATTGTCGTTGACATCCAGCACCTGCACTGTGACCAGGCCGCTGATGTTGGAGAGGGGAGGACGTCCTCCATCCTGAGCCCTGATTCTTAAAGTGTATTCTTTGTTCGCCTCGTAATCCAGGTGACTCACCAGGTCCATGTTACCTGTCTGAGCGTCGATGTAAAACTGTCCCCTGGTGTTCCCGCTCATGATGCTGAAGTGAACCACAGCGTTGCTCCCTCGGTCCTGATCTGTGGCGCTGACCTGCAGGATCTCTGTGTTCGGGCTCAAGTCCTCTGGCACCTGAACTACATAGCGTTTCTCACTGAACTGTGGAGCATTATCATTGTCATCTTCAACCACAATGTGAACTGTAGCTGTGGCGCTGCGGGGCGCGGGGTCACGACCTTGGTCATTTGCCTCGACTAGCAACATATAGGCGTCCACCTCCTCCCTATCTACAAGGCCTCTGGTGCGGATTACACCAGACCTCGAATCAATCTCAAACACCTCATTGGACCCGTTACTGTTGATGATGCGGTAAAGGATGTTACCATTAACAGGTGCGTCCCCATCTGTCGCCCTTACAGTTAACACCTCATAGCCTATTTCTAGATTCTCCCTGATGTTTTCCTTATAGTCCTCCTGCTCAAACACGGGGCCATGATCATTAGTGTCCCTGACTGTGATAGTGAGGGTGGCCATGCCTGTACGCCGGGGCTTGCCGTGGTCAACGGCAGTCACACGAAACACATGAGTGTCTTTAGTCTCCCTGTCCAGCACCTCTATTGTGGACACAGCACCGTTGATCGGGTCCACTGCAAACAGATTGTTTGAGCGGCTATCAAAGAGAGCTTCTATAAAATACTCCAGCTTGCCTGCCTCACCCTCATCCACATCCATTGCTTTCAAAACAACAACAGGAGTCCCGGCTGGCTGATTCTCTGCCACAGACACTTGGTACATTGGAGGTTGAAACTGAGGGCTGCTGTTGATGCTTCTCCTCCTCCTGCTCACAATCCCTGAATCAGACTGAGCTGCCTTTTCTAACAACTTCCCTAGGTGGGCCTGCCTGAAGGGACCCTGCCCCACACGCCAGTGGATGGAAATGGGATTCACTTCTGCACTCAATCCATTCCCTGTGAGCACATCGCAGATGAGGTCTAGCTCCCGGAGTGTGTCCTGCATCCAGCAGAGCGTCTCAGACACACACAAGTCACCCTCAGAAAAGTAAAAGTCCCGGGTGTTGGTGACTTTGCAGCGGAGAGGGGCTCCAGGTAGCAGACCCCCCACTGCAAATAAAGCAGAGCCTGCTTCGTGGCACTCTGAGCGGTGTTGGCTCTCCGTGCTAAACAAACTGAGCACCTCCATGTCCCACTGAGGTTCTCTTTTACGCACGTTTGAACAGTTCCTACCGTGAACATGCACTTCATACTGGCTGGTGAGGAGGTGCCTGTAGCCGGGGTCCCTGCAGTCAGACACAGTGAACACGGTAAAGGGGTTGGAGCGCAGCGAGGGGCACTTTATGGAGTCCGAAACAAACACAATGCCCGCCGCCGCGTCTGTCTCCAGAAACTGCTCCGTGAATTTGGGAGCGAGTACCTGATCCAAAGTACAGCGCGCGCTCCGCTCCAACCCGGCCACCACAGTCCTTGGCCCCGCATCCTCACTGATGTGAACGGTGTAACAATGCACAAGCGAATCCAGTTTACACCACCAGAAAATCAACAACAAATCCCATTTAACGAAGTGCATCGCTCCTAAGTTTGTGTGTCTCCGAATGGGAATATGTGTCGCTCCTTATTCCTTTAAACTTTCCGCCTGTGAGTTTCCCTTTGTTGCAGAGGAGCCATGCTTTCAGCGGGCGCACTTCTCTCTGGTCACTCCGGCTGATTTGAAGACGTTAACCCGCAGTAACCTTGGCTGGAGCGCCTTACACACACTCGCACACACGCCGGCAGCAACAACAAGAGCAGCAGCACCTCCGCTCAGTCCGCGTAACTCCGCTTGAATGGTGAAAATGGCTCCAGCTCCCCCTGCGCCTTGAGGCTCCTCATTATCATAAACCTGTGTGTGCGCGTGTGTTTCTGTGTGTGCGCGCGCGTGTGTGTGAGAGAGAAAGAGAGAAGGGGGGATGTCTGAGGACTTGGCAGAAACCCTGTCACTTGAGATAAATAGTAACTTCCTAAATGCTTCATCAACATAGGAGACAAAAGCAAGACTTTCATTATAGCCTATACTTTTTACTTCACAACATTGCTAATTTGTTATTGCCATGTTGGAATGTTTTAGCTGTGAGTTCAGGCAGGCACTGTTATCTTTACATTAGTTTGGTTTTATGCATGTTGATAGTCTAGAGTAGACTATAATACTTCGACAGAGCTCTTGTGACACATAACTAACCAAAACCACAATTATTTCATCAGGAACAAGCGTATAGGTCCACACCTCCACAAAGAGTTTACTCATTAACTGGAAGACATTCCTCAAATGGTAGGTTTTAGGTGTTTAAACCCATCACCCACAGTGTTTAAGTAGAACAAATGTAATACATTTCACCTCATTTTTGTTAACTTGTTGATTTAGATCCAATGGTCCAGTTTCAGGACCATAAAGGATACTAGTATGAGGTCAACTCTGTTAGAATAAAATACATTAAACAGAATCAAATTACATTTGGACGTAATGGGCTACAGACCAGTGTCTTGATAAAAACTGTGAAGTAGGTGTAAAACTCGGAGCTCAGTTGATGTGCTGAACGTCACTGACACCTAGTGGACAAAGTACAGTCACACAGTTTTAGAAGCACAGCCTTCTCTGATGGAGATAATTGGGTTTTCATCTCATGTTGCTGGAGTTTATAAATGTTAAATAAAATCTAAAATAACCCACTTATCTTATGGATTTCTAATTGCAAGTAACTTTATTTTACAAGTATTGATTTATTGTGTTCTGTATTGCGTTTAAAGGTGTAGCCGAATAAATGTCAGCTTTTTGTTAAAATGGTTGTTTTACTAATCATTACCAAGAATAACATCTCTAAAGTTAGATTACCAGATATGATTGATTCGGAGAAAGCTGTCTGTTAAATTATCTTATTTGGCTTTGTTAAATTTAGATGGGATGGAAAAATACTTCTATAGCGAGGGAAAAAATGTACAAGCAGGAGTGCAAAATAAGTTAAGTTTTTATTGATCATTACTTAGTCTAAAATCCTCAAAACCGATGTCCTTCTTGTCCAGTAAAGTACTAGTAGTACTAGGTAGTCATACAATCTGGTAAAGAATAGGGAGACAATGGGTCACATGCAGTGCTTGAATTGGAATAAAAAAGGTGCCATTACTCTAAATCAGCAACAAGTATTTGGCACAAAGTCATAGTATATCCTATAATGCTGGTGGGTTTGTCTCTTTACTGTATATTTTAGAAAGGCTCACTGTACTTAAACAAAATGACTCAGGGTGCATCTGAGATTAGAGGGGG